GTTTTCCCTCTGTGTCTACTAGTTGTTTGATTTTCTTTTTAAATTTAATAGCAAATTTGGTGACGTCCCAGCCTTGTCCCAGACTGAGATTCCTGAGGCCTCTGCCAGGACATCTCTGCTTTTCTTCGGCCCAGGAACCTGGGGTGGGCACCTGGCCATGAAGTCTCCAGACCCAAATCTATTTCGTCCCCAGGATTTTCCGTGGCCCCCACTGTCTACTAGTTGTTTGATTTTCTTTTTAAATTTAATAGCAAATTTGGTGACGTCCCAGCCTTGTCCCAGACTGAGATTCCTGAGGCCTCTGCCAGGACATCTCTGCTTTTCTTCGGCCCAGGAACCTGGGGTGGGCACCTGGCCATGAAGTCTCCAGACCCAAATCTATTTCGTCCCCAGGATTTTCCGTGGCCCCCACCCTCCTAAGGAAAAGCCTGGTCTGTAAGTGTCTGTGACCATACATAGTCCCTGTGTCTCAGCCAAAGCCAAAACGTCCTTGGATCCCAGATCTGTAAAGGAGCAGCCAGCTAAGCACGCCAACGCAGGTCACCCCGAGGTCCTAGCCCGGTAGCTATCGCTGTTCTGCTAGTCCAGGGTGACTTTGGTGGAACGAACAGATGGGGCAGGCCTCCTGCGGCGCGGTGCGCTGCGAGCGAACTCAGACTCCTGGGAGATGGCGCTGATGGATCATCTCATTTCCCGACTTGACGGGCCAGAACCTGCTTGCGGAATCCGGTCCGAAGGCTGGAGGCTGCGGCAGGAACTCTCGGCGTTGAAATTTTGAGGGAGAAGAGATACATACCCTACAGATAAACTTCAAGTCCACCCCTAATACTAGGTTAAATCTTCAATTTTCGGTTTTTGAAAGCACAGGCTGAGATAGTTAGCAAGGACTGCGAGCACCATGGAGGTTCCCCCGGATCGCCAGAGTGGGCCCCGGACCTCAGCATCCTACAGCCGGCTGACTCTTGGAGCTCTTTCCCGCTGGATGGTGAGAAATGCTAGGGCTTTGGATGTGGGGAAACACCCACAGGGAGGAGGGAAAACGGCAGAAAACGAAGTAGAACAAACAAAAGCCCTGAACTCTGCGCCCATCTAAAGTCTACATCTGGCCGCGGAAGACACCTTGAACTCCAAAACCGGTTCATCCCAACACAAGGCCAAGCAGAACAACAGCCAGCTGTGTGCTACCGTGCAACCACGGTACCGGACAGCGGTTGTCTGGCGAGTCGGAGCCTCAGTGAGGATGGGTGCACGGAGCACTTGAATGCCCTTTGTCTGATTCTCCTAGACAGTTGTGCCTCTGGGGAGGACAAGGCTGCTGTTTCCTGTCCCAGCACCTGTCAGGCAGGTCAGGCAGGTGTGGGACAGGATGTCTGCTAAGACCTGGAACTCCAAGACTGGGCCTAAGGGAGAACAGAATAGCTAGATTGGAGGAGAGGTCATTAGGAGTTTCAGTTCTGGACCATAACTGTGGGTTTGGTTTATGTTTTTTTTTTTCATTTATTTTAATTTTATGTGTCTGAGTGTTTTATGTATGTAAGAGCACCCATGTCGATGCTAGAAGAGGGCACCAGATCCCCTGGAACGGGAGTTAAGGACGGTTGTTAGCCATCATGTGGATGCTGGGAACCCAACCCAAGAGCAGTCAATGTTCTTAATGGCTGAACTGTCTCTCCAGGCCTGTTTTTTTTTTGATGTTGTTGTTGGTGGTGGTGGTGATTGGTTGGTTTTTTGTTTTAATTTTCTTTCAGCTTCCCAGAATATTTCTCTAAGTCTTCTGAGCTCAAACACTTACAAGGAGTTTACCCTAAATACAAGGCATTCGTCCTAAAATGGAACTTAAAAGGTGCCAGGGGCACTATACCTGGATTCTCCAGGGATATCTGATCTGGGTATACACATGCTAGAATAAATCTATCAGCACAAGAGGTGCATCCAGGAAATCTATAGCTCTCTAAGGGCTGGGAAACCCCAGCTGGCTCAGGGCCTCTAGGTGAAACACTATCCAAAGTCTGGTCCCTGGACCTTTCCTGGGAGACTGAAGAATTTCAGGCCCTAGCCAGCAAAATTGCCTCTGAAGCTGCCTTTTCCAACACCCAGGGAATTTGTGCACGCTGAGGTGGGGAAAACCCCTGCCTAATTTATAGCGCTTGAGTTTAGTTATTGCCAGCTTGTTCAAGTAGTTCCCAGGCTTCTCTTCATCTGTCAAGTGGGAGTTGTTTTCAAAGTCCTGGGAGCTTCTCTGCACTCCAAAACAATGTGTGGAACTAATGAAATTGAAGTCTGTACTTGGTGATACCAGGGCAGAAGTGTATTTTTAAGTGTCCCCAGGTGATTTTCACAGCAGCCAAGAATTACTAGTGTGGAAATTCTCACTATGTATTGGGTGTTAGCTGAGATAAGGGACAGATTCCATGCAGGACAATCCGTACAGTGTTTAAGGACTTCTACACCAAATTCATTCTGACTCCAGTAGTATGACCTTGAACTAGCTAATTAACCCTGCTGGGCTTGTGTGGTGCCTACCACAAGGCATGTTGTCAGGATATAGAATCAAGCTCAATAAATGTAAATTTATAAGGCCACATTCCTCAGTCTCTCTGCTGTGTGTGTGTGTGTTTGTACATGTGTGAGTGTGTGTATGTTTGTATATGTGTGTGTTTGTATATGTGTGAGTGTGTGTATATGTGTGAGTGTTTGTATATGTGTTTGTATGTGTGTATGTGTGTGTTTGTATATGTGTGTGTTTGTATATGTGTATGTTTGTATATGTGTGAGTGTGTTTGTATATGTGTGAGTGTGTTTGTATATGTATGTGTTTGTATGTGTGTGTATGTGTGTCTGTTTGTATATGTGTGTGTCTGTATATGTGTGTGTTTGTATATGTGTGTGTTTGTATGTGTGTGTGCTCGTATATGTGTGTGTGTTTGAATGTGTGAGTGTGTTTGTGTGTGTATGTGTGTGTATTTGTATGTGTGTGTCTGGCCATATGTGTGTGTGTGTGTTTGTATATGTGTGTATGTGTGTGTGTTTGTATGTGTGTTTTTGTATGTGTGAGTGTGTGTTTGTATATGTGTGTATATGTGTGTTTGTATATGTCTGTATGTGTGAGTGTATGTGTGTTTGAATATGTGAGTGTGTGTATGTATGTGTTTGTATATGTGTGTGTGTGTTTGTATATGTGTGTGAGAGTGAGTGTATGTCTATGTTGTGAGTGTATGTGTGTGTGAGTTTGTATATGTGTGTGTGTATATATGTTGTGTGTGTGTGTTTGTGTATGTGTGTATATGTGTGTATGTGTGAGTGTTTGTGTGAGTATGAGTGTATGTGTATATATGTTGTGTTTTTATGTGTTTGTATATGTGTGTGTGTGAATGTGTGAGTGTGTGTGAGTGTGTGAGTGAGTGTGTGTGAGTGTGTGAATATGTGAGTGTGTGAGTGTGTGTGTGTGTGTGTGTGTGTGTGCTGGCCAAAGGAAGGTGTTGGGTGTCCTCTTCTCTCACTCTTGGCCTTATTCCTCTGAGTAAGAAACGTTTCTTTTTCTGAATCTGGAGCTCACATTTTTCAGCTAGGCTGGCAGCCCTCAAGCCCCAGAACTCCTCCTGTCTTTGCCCTCCATAACACTGGAGTTCCAGGCACAGCTGCGACCAAGCCTGACTTGTGGTGGGTGCTGGGATCCCAAACCATGTCTCCATATTCACATAGCAAGCACTCTTAATCACTGAGCCATTTCTCTAATCTCTCTGCTATGGTTTTGGTATGGTTTGTTCCCATTCAAACTCATACTGTAGTTTGGTCCCCATTGTGATGGTGGTGAGAGGTTGTGGGGTCTTTAAGAGGCATTTGACATCATGAGAGATTGAGGGTGAGACGATTCATGCATTCTCCATAAGGAGATTGCCATAAAGAGCTGGGCACTTTCCCTTACTCTGCCTTGCACTTGCACTGCTTCCCATGGGCCTGTTCCACTTTCTGCTCTCCGGCTACCAGCGGAACTGCATTGAGGTTCTCTGCAGAGGCTGAGCAGATGTTGGCACCATATTTTTGGATCTCCAGAACTGAGATTTATATAAACCCCTGTTCTTATAAATCACCTAGCTTCAGGAATTTGGTTGCTTTTAGAAACAGGTCTGGAGTCTCAAGAAAATTACCACACAATCCAAAGTATTTCAGCAACACAAGTCTTACTTCTGCAGAAAACTGCAAAACTACTAAATCCAGCAAGGAAGCGTATTCAGCAGGGGTCCCACTGAGGTTTTATTCCTAAGGCAAAGGGGTCCTGTGCCTCACATTCTTATGTGATTGACTAATTCAAAATGGTGTTGCTGATGATCCAAATGCAGCCTCTGAGAGTAGGATGCAACCTTCAGTACAAACATAATCTTGGAAAAATGCTGATTCAGAGAGGGAGTTTTGCCAGGTAGTGTTTTTACAAATTTCTTTTAAATTTTCTTTGTCTTAGTTAACCTTTCATAGAAAAAGTACAT